TCTGATATCAAATTGATGTAGATCGTATTAGCTCTGATACCAAATTGATGTAGACTAGAAAGGAAAGAATTAAGAATGAGAAGAGAAGAAGAAAGGGATAAGAAAAGAGAAAGAATTCTAATAAGGAAGCAATATCAATGTTCAATAATAATTAAAGTCTAATCTAAATAAAGCCCTTACACGCATCCTTTTATATAGGAAAACTAAAACCCTAAAATAAATAAGTAATTGTCTAATGACAAATAAACCCTCAGCAGTTAAAAGAAATTACTTAAAAGATAAATATTAAAAGTATCTACATAACTCTCGTAACTAATCTATAATATCTATCCAATTCCTATACGATCCCCGTCACATTTTCTACAGAATTAATTACATTACAAAGTACATAAATGATGCAAAAAGTGAACTCATAAAGTAATTACTTTTGGTTCCCAGGAATACCCACAAAAAAAAGAAAGAATATCAATCTCCTCCAACCAACACCAGCATAACAGCATTTTAGTCCAGAAAGTTACTCAAAGGGAAAGTTCAAGATAAATAAATAAATTGTCCTAAAAGTGACAAGATGACTCAAACACCAATCTCAATGTATTTTCTTGAACTTCAAGCTAATATAATCGGGTGAAATCTACCGAGCCTCTATAAGGCAACAGCAACATGATCAGTTAAAAAGACATTTTTGATAGTTAGGTAGAAATGCAAAAAACGCAGCTCATAGCACAATCATAGAACCGATGTAACCGAACAGCTAGTTACCTTGTATAAATCAAGTGAGCTATAAGTCCAAGATCTTAGCTTGTTATATCCCTCCTGGTATTGTGCTGGTTCATTTCTGATCTGAAAGGTATGAAATTCAATAAAATGATGCATGTCCTATTTACAAGCATAAGACAATAACGAGAAAAGATGCATATATCACCTAAAGGAACAAGGAGTCAAGGACCTACTATTTTGTTATACTTCAGAACAATGGGGGGCAGCAAAGCATGAAGGTCAGACATTGTCAAACAACACTCTGGCTTGACATTCTAATTTCAAGACCAGTAACAGTATATCTGGGGCCAACATGGGGCGGTCATGTCATTGTCTTCAAACATAAAATCAAATGAAAGTCGGTTTTGCAAGAGCACACTACAATGTCATAGTGAGGCAAAATTGAAAATGTAAGAGCTTTCTGGATATCAATGTCATTCAAAAGCAGAAAACCAATTTTGTGACCCAAAGCACATAGTTTCACAGGTTAATCGTATAAATTCATCGTCCAAGAACCAGAAAACAAGAAAATCGCAAGAAGAGGACCCCGCCAAATCTAATTTCTTCAAAGGTATTCAATTATTTAATTAATAATTGTTTCCTGCTATGGAGACCATAATTTCTAAGTTCAATTATTCATGGCAGAGCGAGAATAACAAAATTAGGAAGGCAGGCAATAAACAAACACAAACAATTTCATTTAAAAAAATAAGTGCACTCTCAATTTTCCCATGAGTGATATCATTTTGGTTTTCAAGCTATTTTTCACATGAATCCATGTAATGCATTTAGTTAGAGCATTTACACTAGGACAGAATAAGCAAATCACTTTCATACTTAAAATTCAGGAGATTGCTACAAGGTACATGAACAGGCAAAACAAACTGATAGAGATAGTTAGGAAAACAAAAAATAAAAGTGTGCAACCAAAATATGGATTAATTTTATGTTACCATTCCTTGAAAAAGTAAAATGAAATTCCAAAAATCAAAAAGTATTTAGGGCGTGTTTGGTTAGCTTCTGTAAAACAATTTTTTGTTCCCAAAATTTCAAAAACACCCAAATCCTGTTTGTTTAGCATTTTTGTTCTCTAAATTTTGGGAAAAAATTAGATTTGAATGAAACAAACAGAAAACAAGTGTGCTTGTTTTTAGAGTTTTTTTTGAAAATTTTGAAAACAAGGAAAACAATTTTGGATGTTCAAATATGGGTATATATATACAAATAAATATATACATATTTATATATAAATGTCATATAATATATATATATATATATATATATATATATATATATATATATATATATATATATATATATATATATATAAAAATATTATATATATTATGAAATTGTCAATATAAAAATAATTTTTTTATATTTTTTTATTAATGTTTGAATTACTGTTCAAATATATATTTAGGCTGTCGAAACAGGTTTTACTATTTTCTGTATTGTAAAATTATTTTTGAAATCATCTAATCAAACAAGTTTTTTATCTCAAAAAATATCAAAACTACTTTCTTAAAATTCTTCTCAAAAATTATTTTCGGATACTAATTTTTGAAACGCAAGCCAAACAGACCCTTAACTTTTCCTTTTCATGAAACATGCACCTAATATAAATCAATCTATTAGCTAGTGTATAGTTGTGTGATGTGACCCTTTCTCCATCTTCAACCAAAAGGGTTGTCATACTATTTTTCAATTCACTACTTTTATGTTTCTTCTTACACATATGAAATCTAAAAGAAAAAAAAGGAGAAATCAAAAGGATCAAAATCGCTAAATTTGGTGCTCCCATAAGAGAATGTACCATGTTCTAGAACACGCCTTCCATTAATTCGCAAGCTGGATGGTGTTCAGAAGCAACCACCATCCTGTGGAATGCATATGTTGTAATAAAAAAGATTATTTTCATGGTGCAGTTCCTTGTTACTTAATTTCTTATGCATTTTTCAAATTTTAAAGGAAGGTACTAATTGAAGTATAAAACTGATACATTAGGGCTCGTTTGGTAACGTTTACGATTTTTGATTTTCTAAAAAACGAAAAATAGAATCAAAAAATAAAAAACGTCTTTTTCTCGTTTTTGAAAATCGCCCCTCGTTTACAAAATGATGACAGAAAAAAAAATAAAAACGATTATCAAACGAGTTTTTTTTTCTTGATTTCTCTAAATATCAAAATAAAAACGAAAAACATAAACATTACCAAACGGGACCTTAATTATACTTTCGTTTTCCGGTGCAGTTTCTTTTCACTTGGTTTTTTATGCAGCAGTGTTGTGAAAAGCGAGACTAGGCGAGAAGCGAAATGAAGCGAGTCTTGGTCGTCTTGAACAGCCAAGGCGAAGCAAGGTTAAGTAAAGCATAGAAAAAGAAAGTCTACGCAAAGAAGCGAGCCATGCGAGAAAAGCGAACACCTGATTGCAATCTTTTTTATTTTCTTGTCCTCCCCCTCCCCCTCCCCCTCCTTAACATCAACTAAACCCTAGCAGAGATGATGTGATATATGTATATGTATAAAATAAATTAATTGATTCATTTGATAGTATCATATGGTAATATATCTTGTTATAATTAGATGATGTTGAATACTCTATTTTGTTTTGTAGTGAATGCTCTTGTTAATCAATTAACTTGGTTAATCAAATTGATTAATCAATTTGCTATATGTTCTATTTGATTAATTAATTTGCTATATGTTCTATTTGATTAATTAATTTGCTATATGCTCTATTTGATTAATCAATTTGTGAGTGTTCTGTTTAATAGTGATATTAATCAATCACGGTGGGAGTAAAACCCATATTTGCTAGCTTTTTATTTAGATGACCTGATTATGTCAATTAATTATTTTTAAAATATAATAATATTAAATATTTAATATCTTGTCTATTTAAAATATGTAGGTGTTCATTATTTTTGGTTGCATTTAAATATTTTGTATTTATAAAGTTAAAACTTGAATATTTAAGAGAAATCAAAATATTAAACTAAAATATTTGCTTTTATTGTTCGCTTCGCTTCTTAGTAGAACGATTCACTTTGGTTCGCTTTACGCCTTAAATAAAATTGTTATGCAGTTTTCGAAGTTTAAAGGTACTAAAGGGAGTAGAGTACATTAACTTCAAAGTATTCAACACCTGATTGCAAGAACCCCTTTAACATCAAAAGTTGAAACCTTTTTGACCATGAACATATCTACACCTAATACATACAATAAGGGTTCCAACTGGGGAAGGAGGAAGATAAGAGTTAGGGTCCTAACCAGAAAGCAACAAAATCCACTTATAATTTTAGCGCATCCCACCAATAAAATTCACAACTGAAAATCCGAAAATAACCTTTGTTTTCCCATTAATTATCCCGGAATCCTTTCATGGAACCCTAAATAAAAAATACACGAAGTTAAAATATAAAGCATTGAAAAGAGCACTTGTTAACCATTCTGCTTGTACGGCATCTTATGACAACAAAACACTTAACCATGTAAACTCTCCTGCAAGCTACCCATGCTGATTTCTGAAACTTAAGTTCCAATTAGCACACTGGTCGTGCAACAAACAAAATCCAATGGAGGGAAAAATAGCCCTCAGATTCCAAAAAACAGTTTCAGAAGTCTGCAAAGATTAACAATGGCTGAGGTAGTTGTACTTGGTCAAAACACGAGTAACTAATAAGACCCACACAAAAAACAACTTGACCCATAAGTTTTTCCATGAACAACAAAAATGGTTAGTTCTCAACTCTATCCAGAGAAATAAGTTCATATAACTAATAACTAACTGCATGGAACCCTCCTCGTTCTAAATATGTGTTTCACTCAATCTTTTCGTTTCTTGTCATTATTTTTGTTGCCAACAGACCTCATAAAGCTAAAGTGACGACGAATTATATCAAATCAAAATAACCCTGTTTTTCAGATAGGCAAACAAATAACCTAATTCTTAAGCTACCTCATGAAATCCCTAAAAATTCCTAACCCTACACGTTCCCATAAACCCCAAAAAATTGTCAAATACCCAGAAGTTTTCAGAATTATATACCTCAACAAATACAAACCAAAAAAACCCAGTAAATGAATTCATACGATGTGAACTAGAAGCAGAAAAATTAAACACCCCAAAATATTCAAATTTACGGTAAGCAAATACTAGCACGTATATTTTGTAATAAACATATTGAGAGAGAGAAAGAGAGAGAGAGTTTGGAGATATTTATGGAAAAAAAAAAGCGTACTCAGAGAAGGAGAGGATGTGTTTGGCAATGTGAGGGTCAGTGTGTGAATTGGCGGACGCGAAGTTTGAAGAAGAGTTGTTGCTCTTGGTCTGTTGATGTTCTTCTCGGAAAGGAAGCTCTGTTTGTCTGAATCCCTTCTTCTTCAGGTATGCTATCACTGCTTTTTCTATCTCTTCTTCGTCCATCTCTCTCCTCTTTCACGCACTCTTTCGTCTCTCCAAGTGTCGATGTTTTCTACAGTGAATCTGAGAGTTAGTTCTTGTTTTTTTTTTTTTGGCAAACTTCACTTTACCTCCCATGGTTAAGTCGTTTTTCATGTTATCTCCCTCAAATTTAAAAATAGACACGTAACTCAAATTTAAAAATAGACACGTAACCCCTAGGTAGGGGTGTAAATGGGCCGGACCGGTTCAGGGTTGTGAAAATTTTTTCAAGCCAGACTTGGGTAGTGTAAACTCAAGCTCTTGCTCGAGTGAATTATTGGATGGGTCGGACCGGGCTTTGGATAGGGATAGGCTATCCGCAGTCCAACCCGTAAGCTTATTGGACAGGCCTATAGGCGGGCTTGTTGGGTGGGCCTGTTTGCAGAATTTTTTATATACATCTTTATTTCAAAATAATGAATATTTTTGTAACTTATATTTTTGAATCAAAAGTAAAGTCAAAATGGATAAAAATAAAATAATGAACTACATCTAATAGAATGAATAAATCTCAACTAGGTTGACACGTATTAACTTATTTATCATTTGTATTACTCTACCATTTAAAACTTATATTCTTAATACATGGAAAAAAAATAATGCATTATTTACAATATCTAAATTTTTAAAATTTCAAATTTCGATATTGAGAGACTTATTTCAAAATTTAAAATTTAATGGTGTAAAAGTATAACCTTTTTTCAAAAGAATGGTAGGTTGGGCTAGGCTTGCGGGCGGGCTCTTGGGCCGGACTTCGGGCCGAGTAATGGATTTGGGGGCAAATCCAAGTCCTCTTTTTAAGGATATTGGACTCGGGTTTGGGCAGGCCAACTATCAGACTTTGGGATTATTTTTTCGGGTCGAGTAACAGGACCCATAGGTAATCCGGCCCATGAACACCCCTACCCCCATGTAGTTTGTGGACTAAAAGGCAATGTTAACACCGTTAGCAGAAATAATAAAAGGACCCTAATACCCTTCAATCTGTTTCTTCAAGAACAGACCCACCCCCCTCCCAATCTGCTTCTTCCATAGTGAACATCAGAATTATCTACTGTTTTTTTATTTGCTTTGGGTCTGTTTCTTGTTTTTTTTGGTGACCTAATTAGTTGCTACATACCCATCAGTGAGGATGGATGGGATGCTGAATCCACTAGTTCTTGTCGATTCCACTAGCTCTTCCTGAATCTACTGGTTCTTGCCTTAGTGTTTTTGGGTTTGAAGTAGTTTGTACTTTATTGAAGAGTTGTGGTTGATAGTAGCAGTTGGTATGGAGGGGTTGCCGATGTGGTGGTGGGTGGGGCTTTGGATCATCATCGGCAATGAGAAACGGAGGGAGATGAGAGAAGAGTTAACTACCTATTTAGCTCTTAAACTATATGCTTTAAGTAAATTAAGCTCCTCAACTTTGGTTTGTGTCAATTTAGTCCCTAAACTTGTCAATGTATGTCAATCAAGCTCTTCCATCCAATTCAATTGTTCACTGTGACAGACAAACGCATACATGACTCACGTGAGGCAAGGTCCAGGGGTAATTAAGTGAATAGAAACTGTTGGTCTCTTCCCGGGTAAGTTGGCTCAACTGTTCGTCTCTTCCTTATTCAAAAAAAAATAAAATTGTTGGTCTCTTCTCATAGAAAAACCCATCATATTTCATACATTGTTCACAAACCCTACCTTAATCAATTGCTTCTTTGTGCTTGAGGCTTACTAGAACGATGTCTTGGGTGTTGCGACCTGTAGATCAATTTTTGGATCCAGATAAAATATATTGTAAGTCATGATTCTAGGTTTTTAGAAGTGTTTGAATGAAGACGATTATTATATTATTTGATTTTTGGGATTCAATTTTCTATTGGTGTTGAAAGATCTACCTTTTGTTTTTTTGTCTTGTATTATATGTTGATATAAGTGGTCCCAGAAGTTTGATTATTTGTGTTTTAGAATATTATAATATATTTTTGTGTGTGTTCCCAATAACAGAGGTCCCAATAAAGTGTTGTAATCCATCTGTTTATGTGATTTTTACTGTAATTTTGCATGGTTTCAGCTATATACTCTACTTTATTTAGCATTGAAGTACACTATGGGGGTAAGTTTATAAGCATACCATATAAGAAATATGTGGGTGGTTCTACTATGTACATTGACTGGATTGATGCAGGAAAAATTTCGATTCCAGAGATTCATTGCATGGCCAAAGAGATTGGGTGTGCTGATGTAAGGACATGTTGGTATAGAGTTACTGCAATGGACTTCATCAGTGGGTTAAGGGTTTTGGAATATGATAGAGACATTCTTTCAATAGTGGAATGGACACCAACATATAGAGTGATTAAGATATACACAAACCATGCGGCAAAAATTTATGAAATGCAAGGCCAAGTGCAATCAAGCACTAGTGATAGTAACTTTGATCTTGATAAGCACATGAACAATCCACAGTTTGCAGTTGGTATGTTATTTGTCACAGCTAAACGCTTCAGAGATGCTGTAAAGGAGTATTCCATATTGAATAGGAAGGAAATAAGCTTTACAAAGAATGAGAAATGGAGAGTCAGAGCCAAGTGCAAGCCACCATGTAAATGGATGGTGTTTGCATCTAAGATGCAAGGTGAAAGCACATTGCAAGTGAAGAGTTTGATTGATAAGCATACCAATTTTAGGCCAGCATTTTATAACAAAAACGTGACATCAAATTGGTTATCCAAAAGGTATGTGGATAACTTTAGGTCCAATTCACAGTGGCCAATAGAGTCTTTTAGAGAAACTATCCTAAATAATCACTCAGTTGGAGTATCAAGAAGTAAATTTTATAGAACAAAGCAAAAGGCTAATGGCAATCATAGTGAGCAATACAAACTTATATGGAATTATTGTAAAGAAATCAAAAGGGCAATGCCAAGATCTATAATGGTTGTAGATGTGGATGACAACATTAGTGGAGATGAAAATCCAAGATTTAAAAAATTATATTGTTGTCTAGGGCCACTCAAGTAAGGTTTTATAACAGGGTGTAGAAAATTGATTGGATTAGATGGATGTTTTCTGAGAGGAACATACATAGGGCAGTTGCTATCAGCAGTAAGGATTGATGCAAATGACGGGATGTACCCTTTTGCATATGCAGTAGTTGAAAAGGAAACAAAATCATCATAGACTTGGTTTGTACAACTACTTTGTGCTAACATTGAGCTTGCAAACCAGTCTGAGTGGACTATTATTTCTGACCAACAAATGGTAATATCAGTTTAATGCATACTATGTATTAATCTACATACATACTATGTTTGATTCTACATTTGAAATGATACCAATTTAATGCATTTTGAGTTTTCCATTTCTAGGGTTTGGTGCCAGCAATTCATGACCTTTCTGCCAGACTGTGAGCACAAATTTTGTGCAAGACACCATCTCAGTAACTTCAAGAAGGAGTATAGGGGTAAGTTGTTTTCTCAACTATTTTGGAAATGTTCCAAAGCAACCACTTTGGAGTACTTTAACAAATGCATGGAAGATATGAGGAATGTAGATGAAGGGACATTTAGGTGGTTAGATTCAGGTGTCCCACCTCAACATTAGTGCAGGGCATACTTTTCCACTAGTAGAATATGTGATATGTTGATAAACAACAATTGTGAGGTATTCAATAGTGTCATAGTGGAGGCAAGAGAGAAACCCATTATTACAATGCTGGAAAAAATTAGAATGTTGTTGATGAGAAGGATTAGGAAACATAGAGATGACATGAGTAGACACCCTGGTCCATTATGTCCTAGAATTGAGGAAAAATTAGATTACATTTCAACAAATGCTATGGGCTCCATTTATGAATGGTCAGGTGGATCACAATTCCAAGTTAAAGGGTCATATGTTCAATTTGTTGTTGACTTGAGAGAGAGAACATGTGCATGTAGAAAGTGATAATTATGTGGAATCTCATGTGCACATGCAGTTTCTCCTATTTTGCACAAGGGAGACAAGCCTGAAAATTGTGTGCATGAATGCTACTCAAAAGAATCCTATATGAATTTGTATAAACATCTGATCAATCCCATTAATGGACCTAACTTGTGCCCAAGCTCTGGAAAAAGGCCTTTGAATCCACCTACATTAACTGTTTAACCTGGCAGACCCAAAAAACAGAGGAGAAGAGAGGCAGATGAAAGGAGGAAAGAAGGGAAACTAGGGAAATGTGGGAAAGTTGTGATGACCTGCACTAAATGTAGGAAAGTTGGCCGCAATCGTAGAAGTTGCACACCTATAGAAGATTCAGCAACTGCAACAACAACAAGTTCAACAAATGTAGCAAATTCAACATCTGCAGCAGCAACAGGTGCAACCAATGCAGCACATTCTGCAACAACAACAGATGCAACAAATGTAGCAAATTCAGCAACTATAGCAGCAAATATAACAGATTCAGCAACTGCCTCAAGAGTCAATATCCCAGGAACATCAATTGTAGCAGATTCAACAACTGAATGCAGGCCATTGTTACTGGCCAGAGCAATTAGGAAAAAATTACCAGTATGGTTTTTATTTATTAAAATCATTTCATTGTTACTAAATTCATTTTTAATCACTTTTAGATTCGGAGGAATACAAGCAATCAAGTTGGAGCATTCATTCTACCCAAATCAACAACTGCTGTCAATCTCAGTCCATTAGCACCACCCAACTGAAACAGAGCTGCAGCGGATGTAGAAATTCTGATTTGGGTTTTGAATGGTTGATGTATTCAACCTTTTTTTGTTATCTTTTGAATGGTTTTTGACAATTGATGTATTCAAATTTTTTTGTGAATGGTTGTTGGAATTACTGTATGGAATGTGTTTTCAACGCTATGGAATATGTTTTCAATGCTATGCAATGTGTTTTTTAATGCTACGGAATTAGTAGAAAAAGACTTATAATTTAGTACCAAAAGACATTTTCATTCATTAGAAAAAAAACATTACATTCAGTAAAAAATTAAACAT